TCAAAGGTGGCAAGAAAAGCTTGTTTGAAGAGACGAAAGACTAAAGAACTGTAAAACATGTTCTAAAAGAAGTGTATCCATAATGACACTGACAGCCCTGAGCAAAGCCAATGCAGAGCTGTGAGATTTCACATCCAGGGCCTGGCTCAGGGACACCTAATTAAAGGTTTAATCCCATGATTTTTGGCCCAGGATGTACCAAGGCTAGCTCAGGATCTGGGGGCTACTGATCAAGAACCTCTGAAAGGTCATGCAGGAAAGCAAACCTGCTCTCTTATCCTCGCATCTTTGGGTTTGTGAATCCCCACTATTTTCTCCAAACCCCCTGAAAAGCACTCCTGGCCCAAGGCTGACAGTCTCAACACAAAGATCACGTTGATTTTGGGAAGCTTTGCTTAAGTTCTGTAATCAGGAGAGAGAAATATTGAGCTTAATTCAGGCCTAGTGCTGGTAGATGGGGAGAGCTTCTGCTGACATCAGAGAAACTACCTCGAAAAAGATCACAAGTGTGATGCATTTCATGTACCTAATCAAACCATCTGCAACTTGAGCACGGGCACAGACAGTTGGGGAACTAAGAATCACCCATGTAAATTATTCAGCAACTAATTAATACACTTGAGAAAAAATGAAAGTTATTTAATTTACGTATCTTAAGCAGTTTTTCCCTCCTTTCTCTACATGAACTAAAACTGGCAGAGAACAAGAAACAGAATTGCATGGATAAACTACCAGTTTGGTGGCAGAAACACACATCCCTCCAAAAAGCTCACAAATGAGCAAACTTGTCAGCTGAACCAAAATGAAAACTCTAAAATCTTGCTAATTTGTCACAAAAAAAGAGAAGAGTTCTCTCAAAATCAGGTTTAGACTTCCCTTCCCAGGAGGAAGAAAATAGGGTTAAGATTTCCTCATCCTGCTCCACAGGTTTGGAAGATACAGCTTGATAATGATGTTTATTTATGTTAATAAACAGACCAATAAGTTTAACAAGTCTTTAGTATTGCAAAGAATGTTTCTGCTTTTCTTACATTATGTTTCCTAAGCAGTTTTGGAAAGATACAAAATCAAGGATATTAAGAAGAATTCTTTGATTCAGACAATGCAGGTGACCTGGAGAAACTGAGCCAAAAGAAATGTGAAAATAAGAGTAGCAAATTTAAACTCGTTGCTCCTGGGTTTGTTATTTCACAGCATTATTTCCAGCACAGGATTCACCTTCAAAATCCTTATTTGACACCACTGGAATTGCTGGTTATAGTTTTTTCAAAGTGAGTGCTTGCTCCTGAGAAATTTGCATTATATGAATTTTGGGAACGTGATCAGAAATTTAATTTAGCAAGTCAGCTGCTCTTTCAATATCCTCCACACCTGCAGGGTTAGGAAGAGCAGATGGGGTGGACCTGGAGCACTGTCCAGCACCTTTGCCCTCTCAGACCACTGGGGACAGTTAAGGCTACAAGGGCCACTTGCATTCTGTGCACTGGTGGAATCCTCAAGAAATGCTCTGGCTTTACCACTAATGGCACTGCTAAGAAGAGGTAAAAATTAAACTGCACTGGAGGGAAGCTTCTGTGACCACTTTCAGTACACACTATGTTTCTGAAGATTTTTGCTTAGGCCATATCTTGTTGAGAAGTGTTAAGGGTTCCTAATGTCCTGAAGGAGGCATTGGGGATCCATCCAGAAATCTCCCAATACCCATCCCGGTGCCACTGAGCAAAGGAGCCTCTCTGATCCTGAGCCTTCAATCTTTGCAAAGCCAAAACAGGATTTTTATTTCTTCCTTTTTACATTAGATCCAACCAAATGGTTGGTCAGAAGCACAGACTTGCTCCACAGCTGGCAACTTCTCAGTTCCTCTCTCGAGCACCTTAGGGTGCCTGTTGATTAGAGAAAGTGAGGAGCAGAACTGCAGAGACACCAACAGCCCTGGTAAACACCTGCTTCTGAGACAGACGAATTTCACAGCATGTAGGGTATCTGCTGAGGCAAAGTTAGGCCCTACTTAAAGAATTCTAATGTATTCAGCAAGTGTAGGACAGTGCTGAATTATTCCTGAATTGATAATCAACGGTGCTTTCTTCTCCAGTTGCAAGATTTGCTTCACAAGGCTTGCTAAACTTTTACAAAAAACGCCACGAAGCTGACAAGCATTTCCAGATGACGGGAACTGCTGTTAATTATTTGTATTCCTGAAGGGCCCAGGAGTGTGGTGGCAGGCCAGGAGCACACAGTCACGGCTGTCTCCGTGCACAGTTGTCTCTGCTGCACGGACAGAGCAGAGACAACCTCTTGTCCCACGTGCTTACAGACCAACAGGGCATCACTGTCTGAAGGTGCCCAAATTATGGACCCAAGGGTGAGGGACTTTCCATCTTAACTGCCAAAGGAGAAATGGGAGAATGCTTACACTACTCTAAATATGACACTTCCTTTCTGTGCTTTAAGATGTGTAATCTGGGTGCATGCACTCAGAAAAAAAAATTAAGATTTGCCAATGTGGGTGGATAAACCTGTCATTATTAAAATGAATCCATTAACTAAGATGCTCTATAAACTCCAGATGATCTCTCTCCTATTATCCCGTAGGGAGATTAAAAATTTTCATTGTTGCTTTTATGCAATTTTTTGTAAAGGGAAATAGCTCAAGGTTAAATTGAAAAGCCTTTTTCATCCAATAAAGAGGCCATATTAATTTTCCCTCATCTTGGAGAAAATATATGGCCTTGTGAGACATGAAGGCTGTAAGTGTGCCTCTTTCTAGGCTCCTTGCTGATCTGTTTAATAATGGAGCAGTGCCTTGGCCAGCCATCTGCTTTACTGCATTGCTTGGTAGGGAGCAACACTGCCCAAGTCACTTCCAAATAGTTAAATTCAATCCAAACAGATAAAAGTTTGCAAAATGCATTTCAAATCCCAGGAACAAGCAGTTAAGCCCTCTCTTGCAAATTAGGCCTTCAGTGCCTGTGATCTCCCGTTTAATTTACTGCCTCCAAGAAAGGAAATAGAAAATAAGAACAATGTTTCATTCCTGGCAGCAGTTTAGAGTACGAATGTGGGGACTTATGCCAACACCGTGCAACTAGCAACCATGCCAGAAAGTTACATTCTGGCCTGTTGTACACGAACTCTGCATTGGTTTTAATCAAATATACATATACTCACACACACACATTAGTATATACACATGCACACACACACCTGATTTTACAGCTGCAATAGAAATCCTGGTCTCTGTACGAGGTTAACTGGTATGGCCCTACCCTGACCCAGACAGACAAACTTCAGGGCTTCACAGGTTCTTTAATTATCATTTCCCAAGAGCCAGTGTAAGACAGTGTTTCTCCTGGCACACACTGCTGTCCTCCCATGGTATCCTTTATGCACCTCTCCATGTTCTCTGCTGCCCAGTCACTCAGCACGCAGCCAGGTCTCCTCTGCTCGTGCCCCCCCTTCACAGGGAGGCCATCTCCACCACCCTGGCTAACACTGGGTGCTCCAAGACTCTTCCACAAGTGAACAGTTCTCTATAGAGTAAGCTCTACAATCAGAGTACTGGTTTTCATACCAGAAACGCTGGCCAAACATCAGCTCGGGGCAGTGCAGCAGGGTTTGGAGTGAAGCAGCCATGGTGCTGGCACAGACCGTCTGTACAGCTCATACATGCTCAAGAAGAGTCAGCCCAGACATACTGCATCCCCCAGCTTTCCAGGGAAAGATGGAGTCTTGGAAAATCTCTGTGGGTGGCAGCCCTCAGAAGTGTCAAGCTCAGCAGCTGAGGAGTTACCTGGTGGCCAGCCCTTTGTGCTGAACTCTACCAGCACGTTTCAGGATGTTTTGGGATATAAATGTAAGTGAACGGCCCGGGGCAGGCACAGCCCCCACGGCAGTTTGCCTGTTCTGAGCAGAAGGTGGGCTGACCCCTCTCCATGGGTGAGGGCACACAGCCCCAGCCCACCAGACATCTCAGAACAGTGAGCCCTGTCCTGCTCATGGCAGCTTTGGGACTCATGGAGTGCGTGAACAGAAGGGAGAGCACATCCACTGTAAGGCACTAATGGCCCGTGGCTGTCACGAGGGACTAATCTTTCTTGATGCTTTCAGGGGGATGATTAGAGTTTATGCTGGAATGCAAGTTTCCATGAACAGCCAAGGTAAGTGAACATCAGGAAATTATACGAAGCATCAGCTTTATGAGCTGAAAGATTTGTTACTTCCACCCACACAACTAAAGGCATTATTTTAAGAAAGTGTTTAAATTCTTCTTAAACCTTATTCTTGATACATCAAAAGAAATAATCAACTAGAACCCTCCCCCCAATTCTAGTGTCAACCTCCCTGGGTGCTTTTCAGAGGTCTTTGATTAATAGCTTAACTCCTAATTGTCTGTTCAAAGCCTGTGCTGGTTCTAAAGTCTACTTGATTATCAGAGCTGCAGCCAGATGTGCTGGCATCCCCACGAATGCCTGTCCCCAGGACCCTCAGAACACCACATCTCCAGGCCAGGAAGACAGCAAGAAGCCACCAGCCTGGACCAGACACCCCCCACCCAGCCACCACCACTGCTGGGACCTCTGCTTCACTCCTGCCTCCCCCTCCACCTGATGGGAGCAGAAACAGTCCAAGAGAGTTGCTTGCATTTTATAGGGGATGTTCACTTCTGAGAGGGGGCTGGAGGAACAGACCAGGCAGAATATATGAGGGCAAAAAGGAAGACAAACACAGCCCTTCCCAATTTTCCTCTCCATCCTTCTTCCCCTCCCCATGACTCTACTGTACATTGTTTTAAAACAGGTTTGCTATTTATCCACAACACCACAAATAATCTACACTTGCTCTGCTCAGTTACAAAGTATTTTCATTTAAAGAACACAAAAAAATCCCAAAGCAAAACTGCTAAGGTCACCAAGTGAAATAACACAGTTACATATCAAATGGTTTATAAACATCAGACTCTGAAAAACAACACTGGTTAGAACAAAGATTCTGACCCTTACCACAAGTCTTTGCAGAAGGCTGGGGTTGTTTTACTGAACTAGTCTTTTGTAAGTATTTGATCTGAAGACGTACCGGTTTGGGAAACATGAAAGAGTAACCTGCCATCTGAAACAGTTGGGGGAAAAAAAAATCAACAAGGAAAAGTTAAGTTGAAAGCCTTTGCATGAATTTCCAAATGTCGTAGAAATATTCTTTTTCACCTACAGATCAAATAAATATGGAAGTCTTCTCCCTACAGATATCTTTCATGACTCGTATCTCTTCAACACAGAAGCTGCCTACTCAGAAGAATTCCGAGTCCAGCTCCTCCTGCCTATGAATCAAACAACTTCTCTGAAAGCAGCAGGAATTATTTGCCACTTGGTTCTGCTTCTTGGCAGGAATCACTGACATGCTCCTGATTGCACATACATTTGTCTTGTACACATGCTGTCTACCACAAGTTGATCCAGGAGGATCTAGTGTGGCTTCTCTAGGCAGGAGTTTGTTGGGTTTGGATTTGCACACAATGACCTCTCTGAGAGCTGCTCAAAAGGCAGTTGGTAGCTCTCTCTGTGACTGAGGGCTCTGTTTCTGAAATGCTGAAAAGGTCTGAACAAAATGTCCCTTGACTTAAATCCTTTATTCATTCCAAGGCGCTCGTATAAACTGACCAACTCTTTACACAAGTGATGGTAAGTTGTTGGACTGAATCATTCCTAACCAAGGTCTAATTGATTGAGAAGATCTTTCTCCATGATCGTACAGAGCTGTGGAGCAAACCTATTAAGAAGAAAGGTAAGAACATACTGCAGCTAATTTAAGGATTAAAACTTCATCCTAAAGCAAAACTAAGTTTGACTTAAACCTCTGGGTTTTGAAAGAGCTTGGATAGTCCCCTTCACCTCCTCTATGTCACCTGTGCATTGCTGGGGCTCAGGGCTTCAAAATACAAACCCAGCAAAACTCGTGTGTGTGAAGGAAAGAAGGAACTCGGTCAGTCTAGAAAAAGAACCGAATTCTGAAACACAGACATGTCCTTTCCTCTCAGTAACACTTCAGTAAATATTCAAATGCCTGGTACTCTTTCAAATCCAGTCTTTTGTGACAGCCTCCTGCAATTTATCCTCATAGAGTGTGAAGAGGGGAGTGAGGCTGTGCCCGGCCCAGCAGCCTGTCTGAGCACACACAGGTACAGGAGCAGGGCCTGACGCTTGCCTGCCACAAGTAAAATTAAGTCTTCAATCTTTTTTTTCACATCTTGGAGCTGAAAACCCCAATCAATAATACTCACAGTCTCCCTTGAGCTACGACCAAAGAATACAGGCCAAAATCTCTGTTACTTATTTTTTTAACTCTTCCCCATAGCAATTCTTCTAAAAATTCAATCTTGTAGTTCAACCTTAATTGCTCACTTTGAGACAATCCAAACCTCTAGGAGCCCTGTCTGACTGAAGAATTTGTAGTACCTTTGATGTTTTTGTAGGATCAATGCTCAGAGGCACTTTTTTAAAAATTTATACAGACTCCCTTTCCTCATGTGCAAACAACTGGACATTAATAATCTAGCAGTAAAATTTAAGACATTTGCGTAGTTTGGAAAATAATGAGACCTCTATTTAAGATATCTGCCCCTATGTAAGTTATTAGAGTACAAGGATCCGTCCATACATAAAAATCAATCTTAACTGTCCAGAACCAGCTATCAGCTGGATTTAAGAATACATCATTGTAATTCATTGCAAGTAACAGACACACAGCAAGTGACAAATACCTCAGCCAAAAGCACATGTGATGGTCTGCTCCCAAGCTGTTATTTTCCTGGGATCAGACACATTCTTTTAATGAGATGCTCTGTGCATGGGATATAAGAATGTCTGTCTGACCCTAACTCAGCAAAGGACTTGCTCCCAAACCCAATTAATGTCTGTGCTTAAGAGCAACCTTGAACTTGGAGGAAATTCAGAATTCCCACTGACTTCAACAGACAGGAAAGCTGTAGCAATATGAATCCACAGCATGCAGAAGTATCCCAGGGCCCACAGAGCCTCATGAGGGAAGCACAGCTCTGCATTAATCTATCTCAGGTGCCTCTAGTGAGGATCCATTTGTGCTGTGCTTTGCTCAGTGATGCTGCAATGGCCCTTCTTCCCCCAGGACAGCAATGCCCCAATTTCCCTCCTGGCTATCTTCTTTTGAGCTCACAATTCCCTTTCCAAGTGTGATTTCTGCAGTGAAGTTTTGATGCAGCTTCTTAGCACCACGACCCTGTTCAGGCTCACAGTCCTTGCTGGTGGGAGCCACTGCCCAGATCCACAAAAGGATGGTGACCAATCTCTTACACTGGCAAATGTTCAAGACAGAACCACACTCTTCAAAAAAGGCTACCAAGTTGCAGCTGCCACCTGGGCCAACAACATCTCTGCCTCCTACAGATCACAGTGCAGACACACCTCTGGCAATTCAGAACGCCCCATAGGCCCAGACCTGCTTTCATTTCACCTCGTGTGTTCAGACCACTGATCTGGGATGGAGTGGGAATCCCAGTACTATCACTAGTCATGAATAAAAGCAAGCTCTGACCTATTTTTTCACCACTCTAGTTCGACAAGTAAGGGCATAAGGAATTAATTCCAGGAAAAGACATGGGTTGTCTTTCTGCAGAAGGAGCTGACTCAGTTCATGGAAAAAAAAATGGCAATTACTCAACGTTTTCTACAGCTGGCTTTATCAACTCCTCCTTTGTTTCTCTGGTACCAGTGACTGCACTGTCTAGAGAGCCTGAAGTCTAAAAGCAGGACTGGGAATCCCTCTGTGATTGGGATGATCTGTCCTTCAGACAAATCATGTAATAATAAATGTCAGGCTTATATCTTCTGTATATTTAGCCCAAAGTGTTTTGACAAGGAGAGAAGGGTCTTAAACATATGCTTAAAGGCAAGTACAAGCTTCAGTGCACTACAAATAGAGCTATTTAAGTTTGAAATAACACATTTTGTAAAGCTCTGATCCAGAAAACACACTTCAAGGTTTTGCACATAAATACTGCACAGAGCACCAGTAGCTCTAACATTTCCCATATGCTCCTGTGCACATTTTGTTCATTTTTTCCTCTGCTATTGGTCATTTATATGCAGGCCCTCCTATCTCACAAAATCATGTGCAGAGGTGTTTGTTTTCATCATCCTCCATTCTTGGTTTTAGCCACTCTGTGTGTGTGTCATCAGAGAGTTGAACCAGTGGATAATGAAAGGCTCCAAGATTATTATTTTTTTTAACGGTTGAAGATTATAAGTTCCAAAATCTATGAAGAGAGTTCCCCTTCGGAACACACAAGCACAGATGGTTTCTTTTACCCTGACACATCAACACCTCATGGATGATTATTTCTTGTTATAAAAGATACAATCTCAAATACTTTATACTTCTACTTTCTCCTGAGATCTGTTTTATCTGTCTGAATACTGTGTCCTAGAAATATCTGCCACCTCACAAAATGCTTTGATGCTGAGATTAGTTGTATCAGCTTTCTTAGAAGAGTGGTCAGGTTGGTTTTTAAACATTCCTAATGAAAAATTTTTCCTTTGTTCTCCTCATAGTTCATTAATTTATATATGTATATATATATATATATTTTTTTTAAGTCTGATCCAAGACTTTGCTGAAATGAGCAGGAGCAATAGTATTTGAGATTGCAGATGTGGTTAAAGCCAGCATCAGCTTATGCTTAACTTCTTTTCATTTTTAACAGTCCTTGCCCTGCAGGTATAAAAAGGGAATTAAAGCCATAAGCCACTGCTTCAGATTTGTTCTCTTAATTAGCTCCTGCCATGGTGGATTAATTCCATCTGCAATGTGTTGCCATCTCTGCAGAAGTTTATCGTAGTGGAATGGGGGATTAATGAGGAGAGTGGATGCCTTGACATCCCAGCTGTCCATAAACTGGCTGTAATGGGATCAGTGCAGATGGTACCAATGCTCTCCCTAAGTATCACCGAAGGTGAGGAATTCGTTTTCTATAAACCTGCCACATGCAGTTACTCATCCACTGCAGAAAATAAAGTCAGAGCTGCACATCTGACTTAAAAATAGTGGCCAGTGGATCTGATAATCTCAAAAGACTCTTCCTCTCCTGAAGAAATAGTGGCTTTTGCATTTTAAGATGAATGAGACAGACTAACTGTATTTTCTCCTCTTGGCTTCTGACTACAGTAACTAAATGTAAATACCTTTAAGAACTGGAGGATTTCTTTCAAAGCTGGGAAAGCTGCTGCTGGGACCAAGGCAATTTAGCAGTGAACTCTGCACTGAGGTCTCATCCCTAATGAGTGAGTCTCTGGGATGGACTCTTGGGGCAATATGGGTTTTTTCTTTAGTGTAGTTTAAAACCAAAGCTCTAGTTTCACCAGAGGCATGAAAGTGGTGAAAGGACATTTGAGGATCTTTCTATTTTAATTTTATGTTGCACTTTTTCATCTGTTTAAAATGAAAAAGTCTTGATTTGCTTCTTAATGGTCTGTTCCCGTAGAACATCCTCATGAAGTAAGATCTGAACACATTACCTTTCTGTCTCAATACCTGCATTACTTCATTTTATTTCTTGATTATTAACAGAGATAAATTGTTTTCGAAACAGAGGCAGTTTTTCTGTTTAAAAAACACTAGTCTGAGACTCTAGAGATAGAGATTCAATGACTGCAACTATTATAGTCTGTATATAACCATAGGAGTCTTCATTTATCCTGTGGTCTTACCTATAATTGGAGATAATAGGCTTTTCAGTGCCTGTTTTGTCTATTTTAGACAGTCAGCTACTTGGGGCAGGTGCTGCCATTCTCCATGTTCATTTAGTGTCTCACATAATAGAGTTCCCATCTCTGTTGGTGTCCCTGTGTGTTATTAAAATACAAAGGATGTCAAACAGAAAAAGACATTTAAGTGCTCAAGTGCCTTGGGAACAATACAGGTGTGCAGCCATTTTTCTTCATCCTTATAAACCCGCTACTAAATATAAAAAGCTGTCTGTAGCTGTTCTACTTCCAATACATAAACCAGAGGCACATCAGACACAGTCACAATGCTGGGTAATTCACGCTGGGAGCCTTCCAAAAGAGCTATCCTGAAATGGCAGCAGTAACTCTGACTCCTAGTCACTAAAGGACAATTGTAGTTTGAAACATTATTATTATTTTCTTATGCAGCATCTAGTGTGTTTTTGGGTGCACAATGCAGTTCTGCTCCCCTCCTGTGGCTTCACTTCTTATTCTTTACCAATGTCTCTTATTTGAGCTCCAGCCCCTACAGCATTATGTAAAAATCTTTCCTCTGGTACAACTACTGAAAGGAGGGAGGGAGGAATCCAGGCTTGCTGGAATCCTAAGATGAAAAACCACTTCAAAAGAAAACTGAGGTCCTATTACTCCCCTGTCTTTCTGAAAAAGAGCTGGAGAGACAAAGTGGAAGCGACAGCTAATCATTTCAAGGAGAATGCCCTAAACCCAGGGGATGTAGGATGAGCACAAGGAGAAACAGCACTGGGTCAGAATGAGGACATCAGAGATAATGGGAAGAAAGTCTTCAAGCAGAGGAGACATGTCTATGGATAAATCCCTTTTGCACCACAATCCTCTGCAGGAGGGGAGGACAGAAGAGGGAATCCAAAAGCGGTCCATGGCAGACAGCAGCTGAAGGCTGCTCTGGCACTTTGAAAAACTGCCAGCTCTTCCCACTTATACAGGGGGCTGGGGCAACAACTGTTCCCCAACAGCACTCCAGCATCTCCTGGATTGTCACTCCACTGCCCCAGGCTCTGCCCTGCTCCAGGAGCCCAAGGGCTCCCAGCAGCACCACCTGGCATAGGAGCCCTGGGACATGGCTGGGGCTTTACACTCAGCCTGTGTCTTAAGGAGCTGAACAGCAAAGGACCTCTCAACAAGGGCAACCTCCCAGCACTCACTCTGTGTCTCACAATCCAAGGTGGCACTGAACAGGTTAAATAAAATACACGGCACTCTGCCTGTCTGCACTCAAACCACAGCAGGTAGGAACACTCCATGCGGGGGTTTGGAACACTGCTCTGGGACGTGCACAGGGACAGAACGACAGCACATTTCCTGTAATGACATTACATTTTCTGTAAAATATAAGTAGCTGAAAAGGCCTCTCCAGGCTACAGTTATGTCTTGTTTGGTCAATCCCTGTAATTGCACAGAGCATGTCATCCCTGCTGCAGGCACGACTGACAGCCGGGGCTGTGCTGCCCTGCTGTCTGCGGGGCCGGGCCGGCACAAGGCCTATTCCAGCACATACAGACGGCCCTGAGGGGAGGGAGGCACGAGGGTCGTGCCGAGCTGCCTTCACGTGGCGTTTTCTTCCATGTTTAGTCTGTGACAAAGGAGCCCAACTACTGCCGAGGGCGATGGGCGAGTCGGGCTGTGGCTGCCCCTCCGGCCCCGCACAGTCCCTCCCGAGCACCCCCGTCCCGCCTCTGCTGGGCCTCGGTGTGAGGGGGAGGCACAGTCGGATTTTTCCCGTGGTACAGAGAATCTATTAAAATACTTACTGCAACATCCTTTTAAGTTAAACTTGCTCTTTGACTTTCTGCGTTTTTTTCTCTTTTCCAACATAAAAGGCGACGGTTAAACGTGACAGTGGTATTCAGCAAGTCCAAGAAAAGGAAGGTTTTAAGCAAGGGTTATTGCTAGACATAGCAACAAAGACTGATTCTGCCAGACTTCTACTTTGTACTGCCACTTACTTCGCAAACATTCTCTTCTCTACATTGACTAAAGGCAGCAAAATCTGGCCCTTGGGAACCTGCTCCTTTGGGGCTTGGCCCCAAAAGGGGAAGCTGAGCTGAGCTCCCACAGGGGGACCCCACACTTAAAAGAGGACGCCAGCCCAAGGCTCAATGGAGCCGGAGAAGATAGGTTAGGTCATATTATGTCATGTGAAGATAAGTAGATCAAAGGGACAATGATCCCACCATAGAATTCTTCCTGCCTGTGAGGCAGCTACTAGATTTTATTCTGAATGCTGGGCTGTATGTCTTATACAGCACAACGGTTTTTAATTATAAGGATAATGTTCACAGCACAGGAGTGTGCATGGCAATAAACATTTTCTCTGGGTGATTAAGTACCAAAGCAAAGTTGAGGTATTTGGGAACCACTGAGCTGTTTATTGTGCATGTCTTCCAATGCCATGAACATTACTCCTGCTTTACAACAAAGAAGAAACAATAAACCATAATGCAAACAAAAGATTATATTCATTGCCTCATGAAATCTCTTTCTGATATTGCATCGTGTCCCAGCCAAGGCAGGGTTTTACAGAATAAATATTTTGAAGAGAGCTCTGAATGTCCAAAGTTTGAGATTTCAATAGCAGCACTCAAGCCAACAACTGATGCTTTGCTGACCATGGCCTCTACTTTTGAAGGGGAAATCTTTCAGGGCAATTTTAGATTTTTCCTGAAAAATTTTCAGTTGAGTGAAATAAATGTGCCACGACTGTAAAAGACCCCAGTGTCAACCTAACTTCTCCATAGGGGTATCCAAAATCAGACAGCCTTGTCCAGCATTTCACGAGGAGGGTAAAAATCATTCCCCAAATGTCTCGTTCACAATATCCAGTTAGTCATCATTTCCTATCACCAAATTATGATGTAGAAGCATTAAGGATAAAACCCTGCTGGCAGCCTAAACCCAGGTCTGATCCCTTTACGGCTCTCAGGACATTGTGTCCAGCACTTCCTGCAACAAGGCCACAGGAGGCTATGGAAAACATCCACCACAGTATAAGAGCATTCATTGCGTGCAGCACCACAGCAATGTATAGCTGTGCAAACGCTTGGGTGAGATGTTCTTCATCCTGCTCCCACTCCTCCCCACCTCTACCCTCCTGCTCTTAACTGCCCCTTCTGTTGACCCTGAGCAACTATTTTGGGGCTTAGAACGAAATCCCAGTCCCCACACCCCCTCCACAACTGAGGGGCTCCTGCACTAATGGCATAAGGGGTCAGGAATGAAGAATAAACAGCTTTGAGACGAGGTGAGAGGTTCTTCATCCAGCCATACCCTGAGAATTTGAGTCATTTAACGTTAGTGAAGTTAAGATTTCCATTTTAGCACAGTGAGGCGTTGGGATGGCTTCTTTTTAACATTAAATACTTACTGTAATAACATAGTGAATGAAAAGGAATAGTTTAAATCAAGTCCTGTCATTAAAGCGAAGAATAATAGTTCTCAAGTTGAGAGAGGTGAAATTCAATTTGGTGATTAAGAAAACTGACAGAAAAGTTTGATCAAGAACAGTCTCCCTAATGAGGTGGTTGTAGCTAATTCATTAGAGAAAATGAAGTTGGCAGTAAGGATTCTGCACTTTCCTGTTTCCTGTGAGCAATTCTGCAGCTGACCCTCTTCCACAAGGTTTTGAAAACCCAAGGCCAACCTAAAGCTACATGTTCTCATACATCTCTTCCTTAATAAACAGGCTGTTTTAAAGATTAGGCCAGTGATTTATCCACTTCTATTTTACATCTATAATAATACACGATTATGGCTTTGAGCAAATCCAAGCCTTCTGCCTTGATCAATAGAGCTCAGAGCTTTCGGTCTGAAGCCTGTGTGAGCATCCCACTCCCCTGGGGAAATTCCAAGAGTTGCTTCAGTACTTTATTTAATTTATTTATTTTACTTTATGAGACAAAAGCCAAAACACAACAAAAAGAACCAAAAGAAAAACCCCAAGCTACAGAACAATAAATTTGTTTGAATGTAATAATCTCTTTTTCACTCAGTTCTACAAATTACATGACAAGAAGCTCTGCAATAATAAATTGTTTGGCTTGCTATTGTACATTAATCTTTGCTAGAATTCATAAACAAACTTTAAGTCAACAAGCGTGAATTTAATTAAAAAATTTCCAACTCAGTTCTATTTTACGACGCTTTCCTAGATTAGGCAATAAACCATGGAGTTTATACAATTTTATGTGGAGCAATTTTATTTTTTCCCCCTTAAATGGCTCATGTGAAGGGTAACTTCCTCGAAGCAATTGTGCTTTCCAGTAGTCATCCGTTTGTCAGTGCACTGCTTGAGCTGCCTTCTACCCATTAAGGTAAAACAGAAAAGGCTGGATTTCATCAAACTTGGGAGAGGGAGAAGCGAGTAAAAGTATCTATTACAGTTTGAGAAATTAAGTGAATTGTTTTTAGTTCAGTGGTTCCTAATCTGCAGTTTTCAGATCCAGGGGGAGCTGTTTCGAAAGGGCTCACAGAACAGCTGTGCCAATTGTCAGTGGGCTTAGAATAATTTTCAGAAGTTCTAACAGAATAAGGTAATCCTCCAGCATGAACTGAAGTGTAGAAACCGAAATCCACTGAAGAAAGCAGAGAGGCTAACAGGCTTTGGATCAAGCCTTTGCAATAAATGTTGTTCAGTGTCAAAGTTGCTCAGTGTCATAAAGAAGGGGGAGGACAGTGAAGAAGAGACCTGACTCCCAGAGGCAGCCTGCTAAACACAACCCTGAAGTTCTGGAAAACAAAACCTGCCAAGTATCTGATACCAGAACTGGTTTCCAAATTTTTATCTGTTTCTCAGGCTGAGAAAAAATTGTCTCTAGCAAAACCATGTGAAAGCATTTATGCTTTATTTACCTGGCCTAGTCACTTCTAACCAGCACAGCTAATTTTGGTGCAACTTTCACCTTAGCTCAAGCTGTGCCTTCAGGCCCCTGACCCAGGGAATTTAGTTTATTCAAAGGGGGCTCTGCACTTGCTTTTGAAAGACTGTGACACCAATTGCTCAAAGACTAATTAGAAAATAGGTGTGTTTAAATTGTGCACAGCACAGTGCTCACACACAGTGTTCTTGCACGTGGGCTCTT